ATTAAATTATGTTTTCGTAATGCTCATTGAAGTGTTCTCCAAGGTTGTTTTATTACCACTTAAAAATTCAGAAAGTTACAATTTACTGTACTGCTTTACTTTGTAGATACAGATGAATCCCCATATGAAGTATTAGCCCATAATAAAAATATACCTATATCTAACCAAGTAAGTATATAATTAGGATGTTACTCAGTAAAAACAGGCATTTATTTTGGTGATGATTGCAAATAACATAATTTTCACGAATGCATGAACTCACATATATTCATAAATTACTTTCTATTTGAAGTGAGGTAATGAATAAAAACTAATGTAAAGCATGGCTTCTGATTGAAATGCTTCCTGGAGTTGATTCTCTTTTCTGAAGAATTAGCTTAATGCCCTATTAGTCTGTTCTCACACTGCTAATAAAGACCTAACTGAGGCTGGGGAGGCTTCCCAGTCATGGCGGAAGGCAAAGGAGAAGCAAAGTCACATCTCACATGGCAGCAGGCAAGAGAAAGACTGTGTAGAACTCCCCTTTATGAAATTATCAGATCTTATGAGGCTTATTCACTATTACCAGAACAGCAGGGAAAAAGATACACTCCATGATTCAGTTACCTCCCACCAGCCCCCTCCCACAACATGTGGGAATCATGAGAGCTTAATTCAAGATGAAATTTGGGTGGGGACACAGCTAAACCATATCATTCCACCCTTGGCCCCCCCCACCACAACTCCTGTCATAATATTTCAAAACCAATCACGCCTTCCCAACAGTCTGCCAAAGTCTTAACTCATTTCAGCATTCATACAAAAGTCTACAGTCCAAAGTCTCACCTGAGACAAGGCAAGTCCCTTCTGCCTATAAGCCTGGAAAATCAAAAGCAAATAAGTTATTTTCTAAACACAGTGGGGATACAGGCATTAGGTAAACATAGCCATTTCAAATGGGAGAAATTGGCGAAAATGAAGGAGCTACAGGCCCCATGCAAGTCTGAAATCCAGCGGGGCAGTCAAACCTTAAAATTCCAAATGATCTCCTTTGACTTCATGTCTCACATCTGGGTTATGCTTATGCAAGAGGTGGGCTCCTACGGCCTTGTGCAGGTCCACCCCTGTGGCTCTGCAGGGTACAAGACCCCTCCTAGCTGCTTTGATGGCTGGCATTGAGTTTTTGTGGCTTTTTCAGGTATGCAGTGCAACCTGTCCGTGGATCTAGCATTCTGGGCTCTGGAGGACATTGACCCTCTTCTCACAGCTCCACTAGGAAGTGCCCTAGTGGAAATTCTGTGTGGGGGTTTGCACCCCACATTTCCCTTCTGTACTGCTCTAGCACAGGTTCTCCATGAGGACCCAACCCTGAAGCAAACTTCTGCCTGGATGTCCATGGGTTTCCACACATTCTCTGAAATCTAGGAGGAGATTCCCAAACCTCATTTCCTGACTTCTATGTACCCGCAGACTCAACCCCATGTGTAAGCTGCCAAGGCTTAGGGCTTGCACCCTCTGAAGTCACTACCTGAGCATACCTTGGCCCCTTTTAGCCACAGCTGGTGGGACTGGGATGCAGGGCATCAAGTACCTAGACTGCAGACAGCAGTGGAGCCCTGGGCCCAGGCTATGCAACAATATTTCTCTCCTAGGCCTCTGGGTCTGTGATGGGAGGGTCAGCTGTGAAGGTCTCTGAGATGTTCTGGAGACATGTCCTCCCATTGTCCAGATGTTCAACATTTGGCTCCTTGTTACTTACACTTTCTTCAGCAGGCTTGAATTTCTCCCCAGTAAATAGGTTTTTCTTTTCTACCTCATCATCAGGCTATAAATTTTCAAACCTTTTATGCTCTGCTTCCTCTTGAACTCTTTGCGGTATAGAGATTTCTTTCACCAGATACTCCAAATCAAATCTCAAGTTCAAAGTTCCACAGACCTCCAGGCAGGGGCAAAAACTGCTAGTCTCTGCTAAAGCACAACAAGAGTCAACTTTGCTCCAGTTCCCAACAAATTCCTTATCTCCATCTGAGATCACACCCCCCTGGACTTTATTGTTTATATCATTTTGGTCCAAGCCATTCAACACGTGTCTGGGAAGTTCCAAACTTTCCAACATCTTCCTGTCTTCTGAGACTTCCAAGTCTCTAGGAAGTTAAAATCTTTCCCATATTTTCTTATCTTCTTCTGAGCCATCCAAACTGTTTCAACCTCTGCATGTTACCCGGTTCGAATGTCACTTCCACATTTTCAAGCATCTTTACAGCACTACCCCACTCTACAGGTATCAATTTACTGTATTAGTCTGTTCTCACACTTCTTATAAAGACATACCTGAGACTGAGTAATTTATAAAGAGGGTGGTTTAATGGACTTATAGTTTCATATGTCTGGGAAGGCCTCACAATCATGAACGAAGGTAAAGGAGAAGGAAAATCACATATTACATAGTGGCAGGCAAGAAAGAGTGTGTGTGCAGGAGAAATTCCCTTTATATATCCATCAGATCGCCTCAGGCTTATTCACTGTCATGAAAGCAGCATGGGAAAGACCGACTTCCGTGATTCAATTACATCCGATTGGGTCCCTCCAGTGACATGTGGGAATTATACGAACTAAAATTCATGATGAGATATGGGTGAGGACACAATCAAATTATATCGGCATTATAATTTTTTTCTTGGCTATGTAATTCCATTCATTCCTTTATTTCTTAATTGATTTTTAATCAGCTGTTATTATTTAACCACCATTTGTTCTTCTGCTACTAAGGATTCACAATTGCTAAACTAGCCTGGCTATTTTGAAGATAAAAATAAACAGAAATTATTACAAATAAATTCACTTATGGATTCTTTATACACCCCTTTAAAAGTAATTAGTGAAAGGTTATTTTTACAGAGATGTTATGTTGAAAAACTAATCCAAATGGAAGCCACTTGAACTAATTTTGCAGACACCAAAACCCAAGTAAAAAGACTGGAGTAGCCTGATGATTGCGACATAACTAAGGGCAATAGAAGCATGCATAAACCACAGTGCAATACCACCTCCTACCCACTAGAATGGCTATAAAAAGACAGATAGTAATAAATGCTGGTGGAAATTTGAAGAAACTGGAAACCATATTGCTGTCAGGAATGTAAAACAGTGCATCCACTTGGGAAAACAATCTGGCAGTTCATCCAGTGATCACACATGGAGTTATCATATGAGTTACTGGCAATTTCACTTCAAGGCATATACTCAAGAGAAATAAAAACATTTCCACAACAACTTTTACAAAAATGCCTAAAAATATTATTATATTAGGAAAATAATGGAAACCAGATGAAATTTTGTCAAATAAAGAATGGATAAATATGTGGTATATCCATACATTAGAACAGCTTTTGACAATAAAAAAATGAAATAAAATAAAATAAAATTAAAAAATGAAATACCGATGACACATACTATAATATGGATAAACATTTAACACATGATGCTAAATGACATAAACCTTTCACAAAGGACTACATATTATATGATACCTTTTTATAATATAGCAGGCAAATTTATGGAGACAGAAAGTAGATTAATGACTCCCTGAATTAAGGTGAGAGAATGTGTCGTATTATGACTAAGCAATGCAGAATTTCTTTTTGGAGTAATACAAATGTTCTGAAATTCGTTGTGGTAATGGATGTACAACTCTGTGAATAGAAACCATTGAGTTATACACTTTAAAGGGGTGCATTTTATGCTATGTGAACTATATATCAATGAATCTGTTAAAATTTTTAATGTTTTAGGCCCTCTGGAAGAAAAACAGAACATGATTTTATTTTACGTGGCACTATTTTTAAATGTGAAGTATTTTTGTTTGTTTTTTTGAGACAGATTCTTGCTCTGTTACCCAGGCTGGAGTGCAGTGGCATGATCTCGGCTCACTGCAACCTCTGACTCCTGGGTTCGAACTATTCTCCTGCCTCAGCCTCCTAAGTAACTGGGATTACAGGCACCCACCACCACCCACCTGGCTAATTTTTGCATTTTTAGTAGAGACAGGTTTTCACCATGTGGGCCAGGCTAGTCTAGAACTCCTGACTTCGTGATCCGCCCACCTTGGCCTCCCAAAATGCTGGGATTACAGGTGCAAGCCCCTGCACGCTGCCAAAATGTGAAGTATTCTTAATCTCTAATATATTCATAGTTTTCTCTTGAATAAATCAAAACATTTCCTAAATGTATGTATAACTTCTGCATACAGTTTTAAAGTGAGGATAATTGGTACATTTGGTCTACTTACAAATGTGTTAAAAAAAAAAAAAAACTTTATTGTCATGACAATGGATTAGTTTTCTGAAAGTTATATTCTAATTTCATTTAACACAGTCATATTTACCTTTATGACTCCCAAAGTATTACTGATATCTATGTTTGTTGTTTCCTGATCTTAGGTGTTTATCACAATGCAATACTCTGGGTGGAGGTAGAACAAGAGTCACCCTCAGCTTTAGATCATGTACTTCACTTGAAAACAGCCTAGACCTGGCTGTTGAAATTCCAAGAATTATCTTTTTACTGTAAGTTCTATAAGTGTTTTTGAAACTTGAGCAGAGGTTTTATATTGATAAAATAATCAGTATGTAATTTGAAATTTTTATTTCTTTCTTTTTTCCTAAACTACCACACAAATGAGGTACTCTTCTTCCAATGAATTGATAGCTTAAGTAAAGCAAAAACAAATGAAAAAGCACATCTCACAATTAGAAGGAGAACCAAATGCCCTTAACTCAAGGATGAAGCATAAGTGTTCTGTGATACCAATTTTTCCATCACCATACCAGTGTTACAGTAAGAAGGAAGAAATAAGACTTATTCACTCTATCTGATAAGGATAAATTACATCTAATACCTCTATTTACTCTCCTAGATCCTGATACCAAAATTAAAGATTGTGAGGGCCCTGCTCTTAAGGAAATTTCAGTATGTCTTCTTGTATAAGGGACATCTTTTACTGTGAAAGATGAAAGAGTTACCATTTTCTGAAGCAGTGACTGTGATATTGTACCATGGAGTTTCTTCTCTGTCAAGAACCTTTGTAGTCTTAATGGTTCCAGTATTGGCATCAATGTTGAAAAATCTGTCATCTTCAGCATTGTAGTTGATGAAGTATCTAGAGAAAAAAAGAATTTTTTTTTACTTGATGCTATAATGAAGAAAATACAACTGAACCAAGGGAAGGATTATATCCAAATACATTAAAATATCCAAATATATTTTTTAATTCTATATTTGATTTACATGACAACTTTACATTTTTGTAGAATTTATATCAATTATTCTTATCTGTCAGTCTTTAATTCTAAGTTCAATTATGAAGTCAAAAAATAATTTTATAAGATCTTACCAAATTTTGTGAAAAGTAGATAATAGAAACACGGTGATTAATGAAGGAAAGAACAGAAGAACTCACCTCTTGGAAGCCTATAATACATTTAATGAAAAAAAATTAAACCTGCAATGAAAATTCTCATTGCTATTATCCAAAAAAATTTGAATCCTTGGAGAAGTCAGAGAGGAATTTGTCTTGAAATTTCATTGTAGCTAAGGTTTAAAGATAAATATATAAAATGAAAACAAAAGATTTATATTGTTAACACTGTACCTCTATCACAGTTCAACTAAGCCCTTGTTTAGTCAAAGAATGAGATAAAAAAAATAAAGATAGTATAGGGAACACATTTTTTTCCCCTCTTCAATTCATGTAATTTTGCAGGATTCTCTCATATTGGGTTAGATTTCAGCTTATTTTGCGATCAAATGAGCTGAAAGTGATGATGTCTGTCTTCTTTCTGGGTGTAGGTTTCATGAGACTTTGTATGTTTCCTTGTAGGCTATGCCACTGCCATAAGAATAGCATGCTTGGACTAATTAACTTGTCCTAGCATGAGGAAGGGAAACACATGGGCAAAGTTGTCCCAATTAAGGTTCTCAACCTAGTGTAGATCAATCTAGTAAATGTGTAGATGCATGATTGAGTGTTTCAGAGATTAAACAGAGCTGGCATCAAAAACTATCCTAATTCAGCTAGCCCTCAGCTAATCCACAGACACATACAGTACAGTTAGACATAGCTTTTTTTTTTAAGACCTCTGAGTTTTGGAGTTACGTGTTATTTAGCAATAGCTGATTAACGTGTCTGTGAATAAATACTATTAAACAATTATATGTTCTAGAAAAGCTTCAGACTACTTATACAACTTTTTAAGAAGAGAAATATTCTATTCTCTCCTAAAGCCTCTAATGCTTTTTTCTCTTTTCAAATCTAAGCTTAAGTAATATTTTATCTAGAACTGAAAGATGAAATGGACTAATTATGTGAAAAGTGCTAGGGAAGAACATATGACACAGAGAAAACCAAGGTAAAAAGGTCCAGATTAAAGAAAAAGTTCAAATTGGTTAGAAAACAAATCTATGTCAATGTGGCTATGCAGACTGAACGACATGAATGTTCAAGTGTCAGGACAAGATAAAGAGTTTTTTACTCTTTTGTGAAAGCAATGGGAAGAATTTCAAATTCAAGGAAAAAAAAGAACTGATTTACTCAGATTTATTTATGTTCTGAAAAATGACAGTGGCTACTTTTTATCATAGATTGTAGAAAGTTGAAAATCATTGATTAAAAAAATTCTTTGTCAACTTGGACAAAGATGGAAAGACAGAAGATAATGGAAAGAAGTGTGTAACATACTGTTATATACAAAATACATTTCATAGACTTTTCCTTGAAGTGGCATTAGTAAAGTAATTAAATCGCAATTGACTCCATTTGTATGTGTGTGTTTAACCTATCAGTTGATTGACAGACCCTTTTACTGAGGTGGATAAAAAAAGTTAGGGAAAGACAGTTTAGGAAAAATTAATGATTATGCTTTTGAAGCCCATTAGATACACATGCGGAATAAAAAGCCAAAGTCAAATATGGGTACAAAGTTCAATTGTCCTTTCTAAACAGGAAATATAACGTGGAGACAATGTATCAGCACAAATGTAAGGTAATGGGAATGGTATAATCTTACCTGGAACAGAATTGTAAGACAAAAGAAAGAAAGGATTGAGCACTAAAGTATACAACCTATTGACTGTAGAGTAGGCCTACTGACTCTATACAACCTCTTGACTCTAGATTAATCTGTTCAGAGATGGTGACAGCGAAAGAGAGAGGGCAAACTGGCAGAGTGAGTGGCAGGCAGCCAAGAAATGGCTTACCAGGAAGGAAGCAGCTAACAACTCTAGTGAATTCTGTTAAGAGATCGATTGAGGTTAGTGAGGGTTAATTGGATTTGGTAAGGTAGGCAGTATTATTAATAGCTAACTTGTCAAGAATATCATCAGAAAAATACCAAAGGATTGAGGATTTATTACAGTGGCTTCAGGAGTATAGTGAACGTGAAGATACAAAGACTGTGAGTCAGGACAATTGATTGATATCTTTTCCTGAATGAACAACAGAAAGAAAAAAAATATTTTACGTCATCAGAAAAGTTGGTTCAACAAATTATTTTATTTTATATGGGAAATAAGCAGCATTGTCTTTGCTGAAAGAAATGATGCTTTTGAAAAAGGGGACTATCAAAAATGATAAAACTCATGAGAAGGTGAAAAGGCTTGGATTCCAGGGCGCAGATGTACAAATTTCCCATCGAAAGTTAACAGGAATGCTTCTTCCACTTTGGCATGAGGAGAAGATGAAAAGCTGGGTGGAAATATAGGATAGGGTGTAGTGATGAACATATTACAAAATTCATCATACTTTCTGGAACGGCGTGTAAGTGGATTTGCAATACAACCCAAGCCTCACATAGGCATAAGTTTTGAGAAGGCGGTGCAGAACATATTGCTAAGGTGTGAAATCTTCTAAACTCCTGTGGATAGGAATGAACACACATGGCAGAAGATATTTATAGCAGCATGTAAAATGAGACTACAGAGCAAGGAACATGCCAAGAAATGTGACTCATAGTAAAAAACACATAAAAAGAGACAGATTGCATCACTTGTAACTGTGTGATCAAAACAAGTAGTTGACCATTGTACATCAAATGTTCTAATAATAATTATATGTTCATTGAAAAAAATTAATATAAAAAGAAATTTCAACAAGAAAATACACAATTATAAGGTAAATCTTATTCTGAGACACAAAAACCAGATACTACAGAATGGTGGGAAATCTATGTATGACTGGGCTTCCCAAAGCATAAAGCCACGCTATGGTAAAACCATTGTACTTTCTTTGAATTGAGTAGGGAAAAAAAAAACCTTCTTATAAAATCCCTTTCCCAGAGGATAGATGCTGAGGGTGAGGGTTGTACTGGTTAGAAAATGACAGAAGTCTTGTCACACAGAAAAGACAGCATCCTTTAAAATGTAATAGCTTTCTGGCTACTTTATTACCTAAAATTAACGTGTCTTTAAGAAATTGTCCATTTTTGGTTACTGTAAGAAAGTCAGCTTCCGTATCTGAAATTTGGAGGACTTAAATTTGGAACGTATTATTCAACTTCAAAGTTTCCTGCAGCAGCTACCAGAAAAGCTCAGGTTATTTTGTTACACATCCCTATGAAATATGGCAGAGCACATCTCATTTTAGAAATTTGATCACCTTAGAACTATCAGTCTGGAGGAAAATAGGTTTGGTTTTCTTTTGTATTCTGAAATCATGTGGTCTTTTTGACAGAACAATCTCCTCTTTTCTAGCCACTTCACACTGGGCTTTCTAACATAAATGCTAATACCAGTGGTTTAATACTTTTAGAGTTAAAATGTATTTTAATTCATACAGTTTTCAATTATGTTTATATATTAGAAAAATGGCAGGCATAATTCTAGGTGTGCATCTTCAGACTCCTGTTATTTGCATCCGAATTTCCTAAGCTATCTAGCTCTCTAGGGAAATCAACATCCTAAGGGCTAGATTTTGGGAGATGCTTTGTTCTTAAGAGTTTAATTCATGAAGTTGCAATTGAATTTTGACTCAAGTAGAACTAAATAGTTCTGCCTAACCACCTTTGGATTTCTGCCCAGACATGGAAATAAAAACTCAGAAGTAAGGAAAGTGGAAATGTGAGAAAGAGAAACTATTCAAGACTATTATCAAGATTAAATATAGAATCATTTAATGCTAATTATGTAGAATTAAGAAGTGACATGGGTCCATAAAACTGTTAATCAAACAATTAAAAAGAGATGAGAATATGTTCAGTAAATTACTTTTCAAATAATTTTTATAATAAAATGTTTTATAAGCCCTCAGAAAGTTAAAAAAAAAAGTTTACTTTATGAATGTATATGTCATTATTTAGAATTTTTTTTTACAAATAATTAATTTGACATTTTCAGGAATATTTAGAAAGTACAGAATCAAGCAATCATTTGCCTAGGTGACATAGGTCCTAAAAGAGGAGTAATAAAACCCGTGGAATTGGGGTTTTAAATATTTTTTTTAATTCATATAGCTATCAAAAATATATATATATATAGCTATCAAAAATGAACCTCAATAAATTGAAGCTAGATTTATGGCCAGATAAGACATTTTAAATACTTTATTCAAAGTCTAATCTTCCCTTTAATATAAACCTTTGACTATTAGCATATGTGTGAGGCAGAGAGGAAATACTTAAATACATACATGAGTTATTTAACAAAGCTACCTAATAAGAGGTACAAAAAGCTAGCATTTATTGAGCACTTGCAATATACTAGATGGAGGTCTAAGTGCTTTATAAATATTAGTTCATTAAACACTCATAATAGCTGCATGAGGTAAGTATTATTACTAGCTTCCTTTTATAAATGAAGAAACTAAGGGACGTATAATGGAGATTTTGTCCAACATTAAGAAGACAGTTAGTGCAAGAGATTAAAATACAATTTAGGTCTACTGAGTAACATTTATTAGCTCATTTTTTAAAGGATAAAATTTTAAAGGGTGCATGATAGTGTTATGCTTTTCCCTTCTGAATCTTATATTAAAAGGTAATTCCCAATGCCGGAGGTGAGACCTGGTGGGAGGTGACTGGATTACGGGGGTGGATCCCTCACGAATGCTTTGACCCCATGCACTTGGTGATAAGTGAGTTCTCAGTTAGTTCATGCAAGATCTAAATG